TCTCTGGCTTCAGGTTTCTCCCTAACCTCATAATGACCCCATCTATCAAGATATCTCTATCATTGCTCTCCCTCTCTGTCCCTCCCACAACTCAAGCATCCCATTCCCTCATGTTCTCATTCCCCATCCCCTCCCCTTTACCAACCCTGCAATCCCAGTTTACCCAGGACATCTAGTCTACTTCCCCTTCACAGAGTAATCCGTGCTTGTCTCTCTTAGGGTCCTCCTAGTTACCTGGGGCTGTAGCTTCTCTGGGGCTGTAGATTGTGGCCTGGTTATCCTTTACAGTTAAAATCTACTTATAACTGAATGCATACCACATTTGTCTTTCTGGGTCTGGGTTACCTCACTCAGGATGATTTTTTTTTTTACTAGTTCCATCCATTTGTCTGCAAATTTATGATGTCATTGCTTTTAACTGCTGAGTAAATGTAAATATGCAGCATTTTCTTTATCCATTCTTCAATTGAGGGGCATCTAGTTTCTGGCTACTACGAATAATGCTGCTATGAACACAGTTGAGCAAGTGTTCTTGTTGTTCAATTGCCCATCCTTTGGGTACATGCCCAAGAGTGGTACTGCTGGGCCTTGAGGTAGACTGAATCCCAATTTTCTGAGAAACTGACATACTGATTCCCAAATCACTATACAGTTTTGCAATCCCACAAACAGTGGAGGACTGAAACGGTTGGTTTAAGTTAAAAGAGCTAGCCAGAAAAGAGCTACGCTAAGGTGAGCATGCACAACCAATAATTCTCTGTGTCATGATTTGGGAGCTGGCTGGTGGCCCAAAGGGAAAAAAATACAACAGAGATTCTTTCACATCCAGTTTATTGCTGTGTTCTTCTCAATACCAAATATATGGAACCATTCTAGATGTCCATCAACAAATGGACAGACACAGAGCATGTGGTACATACACACAATGGAACTTTATTAAGGGATAAAGAAAAATGAAATCACAGCATTTGTGAGGAAATGAAAGAAACTGGAAATCACTGCATTAAGCAAAACAAAGCAAGCTCAGACAAATACCACATTCCCCTCCTATGCGTTTAATCTAGACTTTGTATGTGTGTGTAAATTTGTATATGTGTGGTTCATGAAGGTAAAATGGGGATTTTGAAAGTGGAAGATATGATCTTAAGGGAGGGAACAAAAGAGTGATTATTGGAGTATGTGTGATGAAAGTAGAGAGACTATTTGGAAGCAGAAAAGTGACCAGTGAGATGATTACAAGAGGGATGAGAATATATAGTGTAAAGGGATAGCTTACACCAAAAACCCCAATGCCATGTAACTATGAAAATACAATCATGGATCTCATTATTTTGTATTACTAACTTTAAAAATAAATTTTAAAAAGGGTTAGTGACTACTTCAAACACAGACCAAAATAGAACATCATAGAGAATGATAAATATCAGTGGCATATAATAAATCTGAAGCATTAAAGGTTCAAACATCAAGGTTAATTTGACAAATAGTTTCCAGCAATATTTGCTGTCTAGTAAGAATGCATCCAATGTCGGGCCACTTAGTTAATGCCCTATCCAGAATAAAAGTGCCTATCACATTTTTAGAAACCATAAGGGTCAATGTAGGCCTTACCAAGAAGCACTAGGACATGAGCAACAACTTGAGGCAGGATGATGGCTAGCATTACTTGTCAATTTGAGAAAACCAAGCATTGCCCAAGAGATACTTCTCTGGGCATGTCTGCAGGGGATTATCATGAGTTTACATTGAAGAGGGAAGACCCATCCACTGTGGGTAGTATCATTCCCTGGCTAGGATCCTGAACTGTACAAATAGGGAAAGGGAACTGAGCAGCACCGTGCAGTCATAATTCTGTTTCCTCATATGACTAGTTGCTTCCGGCTCATACGCCTTGACTCCTTCACCAGGAAGGACTACATTATTGAAATGATCCAGAATAAAGTCTTTCGCCCTTATGTTGCTTTTGTCAGAATATTTTACCACTGCAACAGGAAAAGAATCTAATACTGGGAGGTAAGGAAGTAAGATGGGTTGATAGTCCAGAAAAGAGTATTAAAAACAAAGGGAACAAGTTGAGCAACGTTCCTAATGATAAAGAGGGACATGGGTATTTTCAAAACAAGATAGCCAGTCTGCTGGAGTGGGGACAGCAAGGTGAAAGGAGTAGGAGAGGGGGCAAAGATGAATTAAGAATGGAGGTTAAGAATAGAGGTGGGAAGATCTTGATGTAAACAGACTGTAGGCAGGCACACTGAGACAATTTGTGTTCTCCTAAAAGCTATGTTCAAATGCTCATCCCTGCTACCTGTAAATGTTACCTGATTTAGGAACTGGATCTTTTCTGACACAAAGACATTAAGATGATGCCCTGCTGTGTGAGCATGGGCTCTCATCTACCAACTGGTCTTGTAAGATGAGGGAAATTAGGACCCAGGCATACTCAGAGAAGAGCCAGCCATGTGAAAACAATACAGATATGTAGCGGGAACACAATGTTAAAGCAGGAAGAGATGGGAATGATACACCCAGAAGTCAAGGAAGGCCAAGGATTGCTGATAACAGCCAAGACCAAAGAGAAACAGATTCTCCCTCAGAGCCTGCAGAAAGAACCAGCCCTGCATGACCTGTGTGCTGAGAACAGTGAGAAAAAAAAATAAGTATCTATTGTGTGAATCCTCACAGTCTGTGATAGTTTGTTACAGCAACCTTGAGAAATAGACCCAGTGAACAAGTATACAAGCAGTTCTGTGACTGCAATAGTCCAGTCAAGAAGTGACAAGGACCAGGGTTCGGGTAAATAATGATGGCGACAAAGTAGTAAGAAACAGATCCTAGATTCACTGTGAAGGTACAGTCAACATCTTATGCTGAAATATGAGATGTGAAATGTGATTAATGTTATCTATTGTTGTCATTGCCTGTGCTAATGTTTAGATATTTATATACATGCATTTGGGCCTAGAAATGTACATATTTTCATTGCTCAGATTATCCCAGGTTTGGGGTTGCAGAGACTAGAGTTGGTTGATAGGGCAATCCAAAGAGCCTGCTTTGCTGCGTGGTCAGAAAGTAAGTTACATTGTTTCTGTGAAGTTTAGTACCCTACATGATAAAATGACAATAGCTGGCACTACCAAATGATGTCCGATTCTATTATCTCCAAATAGGCACCCTGTTGTCTCAGCACTGGGAATGATTGCAGATCGTAGTAAATTGTTTTTTGACTTTCATATTCATCCAAGGTCGTTGTAGTATTGAACACTGAAATTTCCTGCCCTGGGGGTTCTTGACTGCCGTTTGATTCTTCTAGAACATGGAGGAGTGAGACACCACATCTCCACCAGAGCTACAGCACACCCAGGCCATGTGTGCTGCTCTTTCACTCGGGAATATAGCAGCAGGGTGGAATTGCTTTAAAAGGTTTGCAACTCCACCGGAAATAAAGATGTGGCATGATCACAATCCCAAATCCTGTTTTCCATCAGCGTGGTTGTGTTTTGATTTCAGGAGAGTAATGGAATTAAGGCGGAAGATAATGACAGTTGCCATCTTTTCTGGAGGATTTACTGTCACATACTGTTCTAAGGACTGGAAAATGATTAACTCACTCTTCACACCACTCTCACAGGTGAGATACAATTCCCCCCATTTCGCAAATGAGGAAGCCAAAGCACAGAGCACTCAAGAAAGACGCCTTTCTTACATTAGTAATGGATGCCATGGCATGCAAAAGTACATGGAGCCCTTTAGAGACAGTGAAAACCAACAACAATAAAAACAAGGCAATTTGGAAATTTAGAATCAAGGCGCTTGACGAGTCCCACAGGCCAATGCTGTCAGGGTCTCTTATAAAACACACTGGCAAGAGACATTCGCCTCTCTGTCCCATCTCTCTCCCTTGTTGACTCTGGTTCTCTGACGAGGAAAAGGCATCCTGGCACCTAGGCCTCAGGGCACCTGAGTGCAGCCTTGCCGGCTCCCAAACACCTGTCAGATCTGGTTCTCAAGGTCTGAATTTTTGAAATGTATCTCCAGTGTTGTTTCCAAGTCACTCACTTATTATACCCTGTTAAATTAGGTTGCCACCTTTAAAAATGTGTGCTTAAACTACCTTGCATTTGAGATAACAGAGACCTCTTGGGTCCAAGAAAAGGCCAACTTCCTTTTTTTTTTTCCTTTTTTAAATTTAAATTTGAAAAAAGACCAACTTTCTAAAGACTCACTCATTACCCAAGTCCATGCGATTTGTGGAATAAACAAATGATCCCCTTGGAGTCTGATTAGTCTGGTTGCATGGTGTAGATTCTTCAATCATCAAAATGGACATCATTTATTTATGTCACAAAATTGCATGATTGAAATATAATGAAAGTTATGAGTTTTGTTTCCCGAGCAAACCCTTGGCAGTTGGAGGTAGCTTTAAAGAGTCAAGAGAACATTTGGGTGACTGAAAAAAAGCAAACAATTTTACTCTGAGAATAGTGTAAAGTAGTTGTCCCCAAAGTTTTTTTTTGTTTGTTTTGTTTTGTTTTTTAATTCAAATGGGTTTATGAAGAGCTTAGGCAAATTCTCGACTGATTAACAGAGACAACAGGATGGATCTAATCTCCTACACAAGCACAGCCAGGTGATAAGACTTGATTTGGATTCTTAGTACTTGGCCCACTGTAGAACTTCTGGCTAAGCCATTGTGCTGACCTGCAAAGAGTGTGCTTGGGGATAGGGATGGGGATATGATGCAACCCCACATTATTAGCAACCCGACTCCAACCAGAACTTCCAAAGCAAAGCTTCCATTACATCATGTAATTAATATACCAAACCTAGGGATTAACCCTCTGCAACTGCTACTCCATCCCTCCACAGTCAATGATCACATAGCCATGAGAGTCTCCCAGACCCATTCTAAGAGTCCCAATGGGTTTGCTTTACACTTTCTTGACCCTTCCTTTTCTGACTCAGCGTCTTCTCCCTGCCTTCCTATTTCTTGCCTGGCAGAAGCCACCATGGTGGCTGCCCTACCGGGCATGCTCAGTACTCTGGCTCAGCCTTGACTCCCTGACTAGCTGTACTCAGCCTGCAGCGCCCAGTCCCTTCAGTGCCCGGTCCCTTTAAATCCATCCGCGTGGTTGCTAGGCAACAGTGCGGCCCGCGCTGGAGCTGCACTGCAGAGGCTCTGCCCCGGGCCAGCCTGGCCCGGTCGCGTTGGCTAGCACTGAACAAGGGGCTGCCGCCTGCCGGTGGTGGCCGGATTCGGGGAAGAGTGGATAGGGCTCTCCAGACCGCACCCGCGATTCCAGGTACGTCTACGAAAGGGACATCTTGGACTCCCCCGGCGTGCCCCTCTTTACCCCCTGACTCGCCCAGCAAGAAGGCGGAAAACCAAGCAAGTCCCAGCAGCAGGTTTCTCTGTCTCTCTCGCTCTATCTCTCTCTCTCTCTCTCTTGAGAGCTCCAGGCTGGAGCAAGGGAATGTTTGGAAAGAAAAGAAACAGGGCGTGGGAAAGGGGTTATGGAAGAAGAGGGGTCAAGCTTGTCCATTCACTCGCCAGCTACAGGATCGGGACTGGGAGGTGAAAAGTGTCACCTGCAGTGGGGGTTCTAGCAACATCTTGTTCCCAGCCACCTTCTTTTCCATAGCAGCAAGGATGGCAGGAGTTTCAGTTAACCATTCACAGAGAAAAATCTCCAAACTATGCATACAAAGATACAGCAAGAATGTGACTCCCATAGTAATAAAGTCTAAGCCTTGGGAACTCAGGTGACTTCGTATCTTTTCTTCAAGAAGGAATAATTTCACACTAATAACAAAGAGTTGGGGGTGATAACCACACATAGTACCCAGTTTTCAATAGTACTTTTTTTTCTCTCACCATACTGGTCAAACAGTAGAAAAGAATCTGTCCAGGGAAGTGGACCCTTGACCCCCAATATATTAGGGCCCTGAGAGATGAAAGCAAAAAGTAAGATCACTTCTCTTTGTCATGTTTTTACAAATGAACTGTACTCTAAGGGAGGGAAAGCAGTCCTAGGTGCCAGCCCTTTGCTAATGTGGCTCATGATCAGCAAGTTTCTGCCTCCACCACCAGTGGCTTATTTGTCCAGTGCACACTACGAGTAAGGAGATACTGTGTTCAATACAGTATAACCATGATTCTTGTCCTACTTGTCATTTGTGTTGCCTGGGGAAGGAAGGCAGGAGCACAGCAGTTGGCATAATGTATTGAAAACTTAAAAGGAGAAATTACTTCTGTCTGGTGCCACATTGCAGATAGACCCATGGACATTCTAGTTGTAGCATGAGTGACTTTAATGCACTCTTCAGAGACTAACATAGGTTTGGACATTCTTGAAATTATATTTCCTGACTACACTTCAGGGGATGGGGGTGGACTGTTTTTTCCAGCTCAAGTTGGAGGAGACCAGTGACATCCGGTCTAAGACCTTGGACCTCAGGAAGGGTAAGTACAGTTGTTCTGGCTGTTATCTCATCCTGGGAGTTTAGAAGCCCAGAGGAGTCTTGCCCAACATAAACCTTCAACTTTGTAACCGAATCATCAGTCTTCATTGTCAGTATGCTTTCAAGACCGCCTCGTAAACATTCAAAAGCAAAGTGCCCTGAAGACTTTAGCTAAGCCAAATAAACTTCAAGGGAAAAATTAAAGCCCTTGCCCTAAAATGTCATCCAAAGCACTTTGTAAGCCACAGAGGAGATTGTGGATTTTCTTTTCTTCTTCTTAAAGAAACAAAACCATTCCATTAAAATCAAGTGTTACCAGATACCAGTGTGACCATTATACTTGGCTCTGGGTCTGAATGCTTGTCCATGTTAACAGACAAAAAAGGAATGTGACAGCTAGGTATGAAGTGGAAAAATGAATTTACTCATAGTTTTGAAGAGAAAAATTTCAGCTTTTCCTATAGTCAGTGTTACAGCTTCTGGAAATACAAAGAAAGGTGTATATGTAGATTTAGCTGTGAGGCCCCACTTACTGGAATTGGGACAGTCCTGGTGTCAGGGATCACAGTTCTTGAGGTGGCCCATTTGCTATTAACCACCTGTGAAGTAGGTTCATCACCTCTGTTTTATACTTTGAAACTGTGCTTCCTAGAAGGCAATCCTTCAGCGGTTCTGAAAGATGAGTTCTGGGATAGCTAGGCTTCTCTTATCTTCCTCTGCCCCAACCTGCATTTAATCCTTTCCCAAGATTTCCCCTTTCCATCTTCCCTCAGTTTATCTAGTAAAACACAGAGATCCGCTTGGACTGCACACAATTCACTTGGGTCATCGTTTTGTTATTATGTGGGTTATTTTACAACTTAGGGAAAGAGGGTGGGGAAGGTAGCCTAGAGGAACCAGGTCAGAATTGTCTCTGTTTCCTGCCTGGAAGCAATGAAATTTTTTAAAAAAAAAAATTGTTGCAATGCTTACTTTTTTTTTTTCTTTCCTGGGGTAGAGGAGTCTCACTCTTTAGCCCTGACTGGCCTTAACTCCTCTGTAGAGTGAAATGGCCTTGAACTCAGAGATCTACCTTTCTTTGCCTCCTGAGTGCTGAGAATAGACATAAACCTTCATGATTAGCCGAGTAACATATTTTCTTTTCCTATTTTGGCTGAGCAGTTTTTCTGAGGGTCAAAGAGTAGAAAACTACCAGGAATAAAGAGAGGGTGTTCTTTGGACTAAAAAAAAAAAAAAAAAATTGACCTGATGGTCCCTAAGGGATGACAGAAAGTCAGACCTTTTTAAAAGACTTACTTTATGTTCATGGGTATTTCACCTGCATTCAAAGATATATGCATGACAATCATACTTAGTACAATGGATTGCCTGCAACGGGAGTTACAGACAGCTGTGAACTACCATGTGTGTGCTGGAAATTGAACCCAGGTCCTGCAGAGGAGCAGCGAGTGCTCTTAACCGCTGAGTCATCTCACAAGCCTGGAAAGCCAGTTGAGGGAAGTTGAATGACTAAGTAGTGACAGACATTGCTCAGCATGGGTTGGGGGAGGTGAACTTTACCATCACTTCATGTTTCCATAGCTTGAGAAGAAGGACCTTTGTGAGATGGGCAAACCCTCTGGCATCCTCCCAGAAGCTGCTTCCCAGTAACTACCTACCTATGCCAGAACGAACAGTTGCACTTTCAGACACACACATATTTATACCAAGATAGTTCTGAAAATTTGAAACTATAACTCTAATGTAAATGGGACAGTACAACAGAGGGATAAAACCATATTGGTATTGTGTCGGGAACTTTCCCAAAGCATATGATTTCAAATACAAATACAAATATTTTAGAAAACAAATAATTAAGTTTCCTGTGCACCTTAATGGAAGATTCCTCCCCAGGGCCTGACCTTGAACATGAAAGAGAAGTGGTTTCATTGATCTCTTCTTTCCTAATAAACAGTAGCATATCACATTCTGAAGCTGTATAAAGATAGATACACTTTCACCTCGTATTTTCAATACAATGATATATCTGAGAGTCTTAATAAATCATCTGTCATCTGTCTTGGCTTTGTCCTTAACATTGTTGTTACATCACATTATGTTATTAATTCATTCTCAATTTGTTTCATCAGTGATTCCAAAACTTTTTTTTTTTTTTTTTTTTTTTTTTTTTTTTGTAGCTGTTGTTTTCTTTTGTTTTGCTTTTTGAGACAGGGGTTTTCAGTGTAACAGCCCTGGCTGTCCTGGAACTTACTCTGTAGACAAGGCTGGTCTCAAACTCACAGAGATCTGCCTGCCCTGCCTCCTGAGTGCTGGGATTAAAGGCATGTGCCACCACTGTCCAGCCTTTTGTAGAATTCTTGACTTCAAATGATATTACTCTGTCAGCCTCTCTAGAAGGCTTCTCCACTTCCTCCTCTTCCCCTCTTCTTCTTCCTCCTCCTCTTAGTTCAATGGAGACATCTTTGACACAAATCTTAAGCACGGAGTTTAACAGAAAGACAGGTACTCAGGAAACAAATAAGACTTACCCCACATGTGTTTCTCAAGGAAGAGCTGCCATTAAGTAGGCAACTGCTTTGAAAAGGATATAAAACATGAGGCAAGCCATCCCTTACTGCACAAAAATGTCCCCATAAAATAGTCCCCAGAGGATAAATGGTAATATTTTCAGGTGGGACAGTAACTAGAATGATCAGAATTCCATCATTAGCCAGACACAAATGTAGATACAGTTGTTTGATGTAGCAGTGCAGTCCCAATGCCTTCCAGGGCATAATTGTTGTGGAAGACCTCTAATGTTATTTTTGTCATGACTATTTTTTTTCTGTCTGTGTTCTGACAGGATTCTTTGAATTTTTCATTTCCCTTGGGTCCTCCAAGGGTCAATGTATAGCTGGGTAGACACAAGAACACATGTGCCCAGCTGAAAGGGCATGTTAATACTTTCAGGAATGGTTTCCCTTCTGCTGAAGAAAATTACCTAGTAAAGTTGATTGAGAACAAAATGGCTGCCCGGCCTAGGTGGAGGGATGTCATTGTTTTTAAAGCACATTCCTTGTCCTTGCTCAAAGTTCTCACAACATACTTGTTCTGCAGTAGCAGCAAACAGCCCTGAAGAAGGTGCTGCTGACGGCTTTCACCCTTCTTGGAGTTTTGCCACGCTCCAGCTAAGTGTGGGAAGGAGCCTTTAAGGCTGGCTTTCCAGTGAAAGAGAAAAGGGAGCATCTGGGAGACCCCTTGACCCTGCCTGTGGAAGCCTGGGGAGCGGAATGCCAGGGAGCCTTTCAGACCTTTCTTTCTCTCTTCCCCTCCCCCAGTCAGCTTTGCTCTCCTCTTGCGGCTCCTTAAAGGATAACCTAAGCTCTGCAAACAATGGGATCTGTTCTTTTGCTCTGTGGAATGACACAGATGAAGGGGGAGGGGGGTTCCAAAGAAGCACTGACCTGGGAGACAGGAGCTCAGTTTCCTCACAACAGGCTATGTGGCCTTACTCAAGTCACACAGTTTCTCGGAGGTGGTTTATTTCATCAATGGGCTCCTCCAGGTTCTTAGATAAAGGACTGGATTTGTAGGATCCATTGAAAGGTAAATCCTTGCTGGCACTCAGGAAAGTCTACAGAAGAATGGGGAAGAGAGATACGGAAAAATGAAAAAGTGTGTGTGTGTGTGTGTGTGTGTGTGTGTGTGTGTGTGTATGCGCACATCTGAGGAGCAACATTAAAATCACTGATGAAGAGTTTTGTACGTTAACTTCTATCTGTACCCAGACCTCTGTCTTAGATGTTTTCCTGCTTGTATGTGCAGGTATAGAGTGGCTTCACCTTAACTGCACACAGCTCAACTCCTGATCAATGCCACCACTATCTTCACACAGACTTAGGTGAAATCCGACTGTCACTTGGTCAGTCATCTCTCTCTGCCCTTGCTATCAGTAAAAGCTTGTTTTCCCCTCTGGTAAAATTTTGTCTTTTGAAAACATGTGGCAAACAAGCTAAGCCTGCTGCCTTTCCTCTCGCATTGGGCCTTTCTCCTCATTACTGATTGATAGCTGTTCCTCTCTTGTTTGATATTTCTAAAACAGTAGAGAAACCAAGATTCTGATCATCTCCGCATCCCAGGACAGGCACATCATAGAAGCTTCTGGATTGTGACTAAAAGAATAAGAAAAGTCAGAAAGGTCTATTTCTAGAGAAAAACCATGATTCTGTCAAATGTACACCATGAATTTCTTGTCTGGGTTTGTCACTATGGTCTGGGAATGGAATCCAGGATTTGTTACATACCAAATAAACACTCTGTCACTGAGCTACACTCCAGCCCTGATTAACTAAACTTTTTTTTTGTTTGTTTTTGTTTTTGTTTTGAGACGGGGATCTCATGAAGGCCAGGCTGATCTCAAACTCTGTGTAGCCAAGACTGGCCTTGAACTCCTGGTCTTTCTTTCCCTCCCCACAATCCTGGAGTTATAAAGTATGTGCTACCTTCCACACTCTAGTTTTTATCAACTTGGATACTGGTTGTGATTTTCTAGGCTATGTTTTCACCTAAAAATTATACTCAGAGTTGGTATAAGAAAACACTTTATAGAGGCAGACGGATCTCTGTGAGTTCAAGGCCAGCCCGGTCTACTTCCAGGACAGCTAGGACTTAGAACTATTCAGAAAAATCCTGTCTCCAAAAAAAAATGGTAAGAAAGAAAAAGAAAACACTTTTAATAGCATTTTTCAATTGTTGACATAGCAGCTCATTATAAAATTGCTATCCGAACAGAGAGAATTCTGTACACTTGGCAGTCTTTCTTAAAGGCAAAGCCTAAGACTGGACTAGCAGGAATTCATAGGTCAAGGCAGAAGGGCATTTGGCAGAGTTACTCATGAGGAAGTCTGCCTGGTACGCTTTACCAGAAGCAACTCACGTTGCATCAAAGCCTTGACGTTTCAGTCACTTTAAGTAGTTCTGCCCGAGAGAACTAGACATAAAGTAAGACACATTGAAGAAAACGGTATTAACAGTATTTCCTAGTAATTTCAAAATAACCTTTTTACTATGTTAAAGCAGTCTGTTTTCATGCATGCAGTTGCTTCCCGTAGAACTGTCTACAATGAATAAATAAATATGTTCATTTACAGATTCTGTTTCATGGGATGAAAGAATTTTTAGGAGCATGTGTTTGAAACACTTAGCTGCTTTATCCCTTTACATTTATAAACAATGGAAAGAGGTCCAAGTCACTCCATTAGTTTGAGGAGAGCTGGCCCTCAAATGTTCAAGGGCCATCAGGCACAAAGCAGCATTCTTAGTTCTGGGTTACCTTTGGAGATAATTGGCTTGGTTTTAACTTTTGTTTTTCAGGAAATCAAAGAGTTGCTCGACAAAATGGATGCTAGACGAAAGCACTGGAAAGACAATACATCCACTCCCTTTTTAAATGAGCATAATGTTCTAGAAGAGGCTGCTCCTCATCAGTCTTTCTCTGAAGAAACATCTGCAGACAGATCCAGAAAAATGGGGAGAATTTCTAACTTTTCCAGTAGAAACATTCAGGAAGGAAATAAATTTAAGAGGAAAGACTATTCTTCCCAGATAGCGGAAAGAGAACAAGATCCCAATTTAAGAGAGAGAAGGATGAACACATCAAAGAATGTAGCAAACACAAAATCTGCCTTCTGTGACTCACTTGATTGGGATGGTGCAACCAAGAAAAGTTCTCACAAAAGGGAGAGTGCCTCCTCGTGGAATAAGAAGGAATTCCAGGCTGCAGCAAAAGGCACCAGGAAGAAATGGACAGAAGCAATGCCTCCAAAAATCCGCCTGCACCTCCTGAATGAAGAGCTGGGAGAACTTAACCTGAAGTGCCGGGAGATCGAAGAGGACTTTGAAAATGCCGAAAAAGAACTTTTGAACTCTCGAAAGGAAGCCTCGGCGAAATCTGTCAATTTTCAAGAACCAGGAACAACGGCTTCAAAGAATGACCGGGAACTGCAAGCTTTAAAAAACGACCTGTCTGAAAAAGCTACAAACGTAAAAAGCTTAACCCAAGAGCTCCAGCAAGCCAAAGAAGTCATGTACAAATTGAATCTGGAGAACAGAAACTTGAAAGACGCTGTCAGAAAACTGAAGCGTCAAACTGAACTCAGTACCATGCTCCTGAGGGAAGAGATGAAGTTGTTTTACCAGCTGGAAATGGAAAAGATCCGCTTAGAGCTGGGTGCCATCAAGAATGAGCTGAGAGCTGAGAAGAACCAGCGAGCAAAGAACACCAGAGCCCTGCAGTTGCTTGGAAGACACATCGCTTCCTTGGTAAGGTCATCGCATATCGCTGACGACTTTACTGGGAATGTTTTTTAAACTTAAGGGGAAAAAAAAAAGCCTTTCACTGGGCAAGCCATTGAGCCAAATCGATGTTTATTGTACTATGTATTTGTGTACTTCTAAAATGTATTTGATAGCTTGTAATCTTTATGGTGAATCAGAATACCTACAAATCATGCAGATATTAACTTTGAAATGACTTTTTTTCTTTCTGATGAAGTCATTGTGAGAATCCAGATGGGAACTCCTGAAATCTCTTTTATATGGATGCACATATAATATCACTAAAACAAAACAACACCAAAAAAAAACAACAAACAAACAATTCACCAGATCATGGAGGAATTGGAATCAGCAGCATTATGTGTTCTTGTAAGCCATGTCTTTGGCACATCGATGTTCTCCCATCTGTAGTCATCAATGTGAACAATAAAAATCTTGTTTACATAGATAAATATAAAATATGCCTGCGAGTTCTGTAGTTGCCTGCTCAAACTCAGAAGGATAAAAATGCATCTGTTTTGTTTGGGGTCTAACCTTAATTAGACACATGTAAACATCTTGGGAACACAATCTCCCCTGCTGATTCCCCGCTTTTTCCTTGGACTTGGACACAGTTCCCATAGACAAATGATGATTTAGAGTCACTGTTCTGACCTTTGCTAGAAGCAGGGCCTCTGTCAGCCATGGCTCCTGCATTTTCTTTCATTGACCAGCAAGGGGCGTTTTGATTACACCATTCTTCCAGAGTTCAGCCAGGGGAATTTTCCAAGCTCCTTGCCTGGCTTCCATCACTGAGCTAGGGCTGCTGTGAAAGGCATTTGATGTCATCTAGACAAACTTCTAGTGTGCTGGCTTGATTTAGGTTATCACCCACCCCTGTAAGGGACCCAGAAAATGATAATGTGCTTTGTATTTACAAAGAGGGAAAATGTGCTGCTTCTGTCCTTCAGTGGAAATGATGGCTCAGGTTGCTTTTCTGCAATGGTGGTGTTGACCATCAAGATTTCTGGCAATCAGACGCTTACTTGCATTGCATTTTTGGATATTGTAATATGATTACATAATTTCTTCCTACCCTTTCCTCCCTCTAAACCACACACACGTGCCCTCCTTGTTCCCTTGCAAATTCATGGACTCCTTTTTCATTAATTGTTGTTACATACCCATATGTATATGTAGATACATGAGCAGGTATATTCCTAAATATAACCTAATTAGTCTGTATAACGCTAGTTGTATGTATATTTTCAGGGCATTTGGTATTGGATAGCCAGTTGGTGTTTCTCCCACTCTGAGCATCTCTTAGTTTGCTGTAGTTTGTTGTATACACCTGAGACCTTGTGGGCTTTCTCGGTCCATTTTGTCATGTCTATTCCTGTTGTCCTTGTTAAGATTATGTTTAAGCAGTTATGTTGGTGAGCTTCTGACACTCCTAGGATACACAATCTCACAGCAAACTCTCTAATCCTCCAGCTCTTACAATTTTTTTGCCCCTATTCCAAAATGTTCTTTGATCCCTAGGTTAAGGAGTTGTTTTATAAATGAATCCCCTGGGACTGTGCTCCATAACTGCATTTTGATTGTGAGAAGTACACTTATCTGTGGATATAAGGGCAAGCATTTAAAGTATAGTTAGTGATTATTCTAGTTTAGTAAAGGTTTTCCTCCCTGATCTCTGACTTCACTAGTTCTGGTTTGTTTGTTTGTTTGTTTTTGTTTTTGTTTTTTTATGTAGTGTATAGAAACAAGGGAGTCACTGGGAGGTGGTGGCACACAGGTTTAATCCCAGCCCTTGGGAGGCAGAGGCAGGTGGATCTTTGTGAGTTTGAGACCAGCCTGGTCTACAAGAGCTAGTTCCAGGACAGGCTCCAAAACTACACAGAGAAACCCTGTCTCGAAAAATCAAAATCAAAACAAAACAAAACAACAACAACAACAAAAAAAAAAACCAAGGGGATGTCTAATTATTTTAATAATTTTATTTATGCAGCTGTTTTGCATGCACAAATATATGTACAACACATATGTGCCTGGTACCTATGGAGGCAAAAAGAAGGTATCAAATGCCCTGGAACTGGATTACAGGCAGTTATGAGCTACCAGGTGGGTGCTGGGAATCAAACCTGTGTCCTCTGGAAGAGCAGCCTGTGCTTTTAACCTCAGAGGCATCTCTCTAGCCCCTTATTTGGATCTTTTCAAGCCCAAATGAATCAAATGTAATCACAGACTATGAGAGTGGGGATACAGTCAGAAAGGTGGGGGAATCCCCAAACTGGGATTTGGGATACTTGATCTCTAGAACTTGATTTCCCATTGACTATTTAATTTCTTCTAGATCTAAAAGCCCTGATTTATAAAATGAGAAAGCAGATCTGTCATAAAGACACTCTTCAGAGCAGACTATGGTGGCATGGGCCTGTAGTTGCATCACTCCAGAGGGCTCACTGAAGCCTAGAGGTCCAAAGCCAAACTGAGCATCATAGTAATACCCCATCACTTAGGAAACTTTCTGTTCAGGTTTTAGGTAGTGACTTCAACTTAATAATTTTTATTTAAAAGTATAACTAACTATACCTGTGAGGAGGTAAAATCATTCATTAAGACCAGGGAAGGTAATGAACGGAAGCAAACTCAGCTGACCCAGAGGCTAGGCAGGTTGCCTGGCCAGGGAAGAATGGATTCAAGTGTAAGATAATCAACGTTGGTGCTTTCTCACTTAATCATAAAGGCAAAGCAGGCACTGGTAGCCTGCTTCAAAGCAAAGAAGATTTCTGGGGCTTTAGTGGTCACTCTGACTTCCCACCAAGAGTCTACCTGCAAACGGAAACTAGGGCTTCTTGGCCCTATTTGCATCATTTGTTCTTCAACACACTCTTAAAAATTGTTCATTGTCTTTGCCCTGTGAAGGTGTTCATTCCTTAATGGTAGTAGGCTGAGCTGTCACAGTGTGCTACACCACCAAGCTCAGTCATTCAATAGAATTCTGTTTTGTGTGTGTGTGATGCTGGTAATCAAACCCAAGTTCTTGCTTATGCTAGAGCAAGAACACAACCACTGAGTTATACTCCCACCGTTAATGTATTTCTTTTCTTTTCCTCCCTCCCTTCCTCCCTTCCTTGTTATGAGTAAGGTTTTTCCTGCTGGCCTGGACCCACCATGGCGCCAGCCCCAAATAACACACAGAGACTCTGTATTTGATATAATGCTGTTGGTCAGTTACTAGTTTCTTATCGGCTACCTCTGTCTTAATTATTAACCCATTTCTATTAATCTAAGTATTTCCATGTGGTCTCATCTTACCGGAGAGAGAGGCCGCCAGCATTCTGCTCTCTCCTTCTCTCCATCTTGACTCCTCCATACTCCTTCCTCTTTCCTCCTTGTCTCCAAGTCCCGTCTATCTTCCTTTCCTATTGGCCAACAGTGCTTTATTCATTATCCTGTATGAGAAACATATTTACAGAATGACATCTCCCATCACTTCCCCCCTCCCATCCTCCATCCTTTCCTTCCTTCCATTTCTGTCCTTTTTTTGAGACAGAGCCTCAGCGTGTAGCTCTTATTGACCTCCAACCAAATCCTTCTATTTTAACTTTCCAATTGCTAGTGAAATATCCAAGCATTTTAAAATGGGGATGGCACATCAGATCATTTATCCCTTTAGTTTGTTGAGTGTAGAATTTGAAATCAGATATGGGACCACCAAGTCCATAATTCTTCCCCAAGAAACCTGGGTTGTCAGTATTATTGAAATGTGTTGTACTTAGGGCTCCAGTTCTATCATATTTTGTTGAGTCTTTATCATCATCGATCCTTACTAATTTTAGAAATATTTTAATTGTGTACCTGGTGTATGTATGGGGTGGGGGTGGAGGACACAAGTCAACAGTAGTTGTCTTCCATCACTTTCCACTTTGCTTTGGGAGTCTCCCACTGAACCCAACTGACTAGACTGAATGGCCACTGAGGCCCTGGCTTCCTTCTGTCTCTGTCTCTCAGTGCTGGGTTACAAGCACCCACTGCCATGCCCAGCTTTGTGTTGGGTGATGAAGCTCCAAATTCACGCACGTTGTCACAGTAGTTCAGCAAGTACTCTACCCACTGATCCCTTGCTTAACTTCAAATTAACGGCATGTCACAATATAGTTGTTAGTATTTTTTTCTACGTCATTTTTTAAATACTGGTATATCTCTGAAGGCAGTTCTAGATTATTCCAACTGAGGTGAAAAAGCCACTCTAAATGTGGGTGGCATCATTCCATGGGCTGAAGTCTTGGACTGAAGAAATTAGCGAAAGTGAGCTGAGCACCAGCATCCATCTCCCTCTGCTTCCTGACTGTGATTGTAATGTGACCAGCCACTTCCTGTTCCAGACACCATGGTTTCTCTGACATGATAGACTAAACCTACCTTTGAATGGTAAGCCAGAATAAACCCTTCCTTCCTCAAGTTGCTTTGGTTGGATAGTTGGTATACCTGGTTTATACCCATTTCTCAGAATGTATTCAGAGTTATCTTTGAAGCATTTCCTTTGTCTTTCACACCATGCTTCTTGACATTAAAACAGGCACACAGCAGTAGAAAAAAAACCTGAGAGATTCTTTGTCACCAGAACCTTTGGTTATATTTTAAAAAAATTTCAAAGTTTTATTATGTGTGCTATGGAACAGTGTCCCCTGACTTGAAATGATTTAGAACTCGGAGCACTTGTGATTGCCTGCAAAGCACCTGTACAAGATTGGGGTCATTAACTTTTTGTCAGGAAACACAGGAGATGCTCATGAGGCCCTAATGTTCTTCAATGATTTAAAGACAGTTAATACTTCCTGTGAGACAGAAACATTTTCTTTATTGGTGTAGCCACCCATAAGTTACCCCTGTTCTGTAAGTAGCCACCCACTCACCTATGCTACTATAAGAAGCCTTAGTTAAAATCATTGGTTCAGCAAGCTACATATGGGTGGAATTGTTTGTTTCTGTTGTTGGTTCCCTACCTGGGGTATAGTCATTTGTTTGTGTCTCCTTAGCAAAAGTGTTCATATACAACAACATGTCACACAATTCCATATATGCAGACTTGTGTGCTATGCACTGATTGCCAGGTGTTTTTTTAGATGAAGAAACTGGGGCTCAGAGATGATGAATGATTTAGGCAACATCATACAACTAGTAACTAAGCGATCTTGAATTCAAACCCAGCTTGCCGTGTTTAATTACAACACATTTCCTACTATATTAGACCATATTGTACTTTTAAATGAGCCAAACCCAGTCATTCTAAAGGTTGTCTAACTTTCTTAAAGACCAACAGTTTTAGTACTATAACCTAAACTCAGATTGACTTAACCATATAAGTGGCTGAGAGGAGTGGGGTGTGTGTGTGTGTGTGTGTGTGTGTGTGTCCCCATCCATGTGTGATGGGTAAGTAGGTCTATATGAAGGAGACAGCATCTTATTCTCTGGTGATGAACTGTGATTGTAACATAAAAACAACTGAAATATGAAGCCAAATCAACAGCTCTGTAAGTTTAGTGCCAGCATTGGCAGAGAAACCAAAAAACCAGGCAACCAGGACTCTGATGAGTCTTTGTTGTAGTGTTGGGGGTCTCAATATTTTCCCATTCAAAATTACTCATCATTTTTCATACAATATTTACTTCTTTGGAATCCTTGCCTTCTAAAGTGTTGTCATTGAAAGCTAATTAGCTCTGAGGGAAAAAAATCACAATGATGTAAAGATCCCTGCTGCTAAGAATGTGTTAATTATATAGAAGATTTGCATGTTTTCCTCTTACTCTTTCTTTGCTTCCTGGCAAGTTTGTCAGTTACAAGAAAGGAATTGTATCCTGTTCAGTCTTTAAATTTGTTTGGGTATATGCATGTGAGCATCAGTAGTCAAAGATGCAAGAAGAGGGCATTGGGTCCCATGGAACACATGTCAGGGTACTCAAAGAGAACTGCAATCTTCTATGGGAACAGCAAGCACTCAAAACCTTGACAAAGGTGTC